GTAGCGAAACAGAAGCAGTTACTTTTCTTATATGTTGAATTTATTCGATCGAATGTGACGTTCGAAAGAAAATTTTTTAGAAAAAAGTAATAACCTGTAAGAATACTCATTCTATAGTCCCATCACGAGTACAGAGTAAGGATCGAAGTAATAAAGAGCATGATCATCAGAAGATTATGACTCTCTGACGTAACTTTTTAGAGGAATAATTGGCAAGGTAGCTCGGATAGTTCTCAGCAAAGCATTTGATCTGTAAAAAGTAGGGTAGAGAGTAGGAAGGAAAGGTAAGGATGGACAAAGAATCACAAAAGTCGAGAGGCCTAGTTTCCTGTGAATTAACCTAAAATTACTGCCATTATTCAAAAATTAAATATTCAGGTGACAATGCTCCTTACAATTTTACTCACGCAACATAAGAAGTTAATCATGGTAAATCGCTTGGCATTTTTATTTCATGGCATGCGACTTCTGTACACAGAACTACCTTGGAAACTAAGCATGAAAAATTAACATAGAATAAATTAATGTCTACATGTCTCTAAAGGCTTAAGAGATAGCCCTTGAAGTAAGTGAGTATTAAACCTAGTGAATTCAGTCAATTTTCAAGATAGGAAACGGATCCACGGGTCTATTAGAAAGCTTCGGAGAGGAGGCATGACTCAGTTCAGCAAATCGAAAAACAGAGGGAGGCAGGGTAAACAGCAAGTACAATGACGCCACCATTAACTCAGCAAAAAACAAAACCCATCTTTTGAGAAAGGGATTATAAATGGAGTTTCAATGCTTTTTAAATCCGAATCTTAGCCTAAGCACCTTTTATATTTACCATGTAGTGTAATATTTACTGTATTATCGTTTCTCAATTTCACCGTCATCCCCACATGCATACACAAATAATAGTTCATTACAGTGTTCACAAATGTCATCTAAAGCCCCATTTCGTATCCCAAAATACCTATTATAAATGTCCATAATTTCGAACAGTTGGAATGAGGAATAGTTATTAGAATAAATTATCCTACTCCTATTCATATCTTCAAAAATTTTTGATCTTTGAGTTCAGTTAAAGGAAGTTTTATATCGAAAAAATGCAGGTGAATGCTATGTTTTTCAGAGATTATTCTGTAATTATGATAAATGTGTTTAAATAAAAAGGACAAATGTTAAATATCCTATTTTATACATAAACTGTATATATATATATAATAAAAGTTAATTAAAGATTTCTAAATACTGATTTTAAATAATTTTTACAAAGTTATATTGGTATTTGCGTGTCTTATCTATACGACCCGCTCTGTTTGTCCCACGTTTTCTTGATCTTCCCCTCATGGTGAAACCCAAGATTTTTTTGCATTTTGACGAGCATAAGAGGCAGTGAGGTTTTGTCTTAAACATTTTAGTGAATACTTGACCGGATTTAGACAACGTAAAACAAAGCGCAAAGAAGCTGCCAGAAAACGCAAGGAAGAAATTTTTAAGAATGATGCTAAACATAAGAAACATCTGGTAACTCACCTCTATAAACATTTTCTTAGTCTAAGGTGCGTTTGGATCACTTAATCTCTGCAATCACATTACCTAACGAGGTGGTTACATTTGAGACAAAATCGGTAGGCCTTGCAGATGTGAGCTCTGTGTCTTCATCAAAACCTATCCAGTCCGTCTCAAATGAAGATGTAATAAATTCATTGCATTTCTAAATCTCATTCCTAGAAACAGTGCTTGCGTACCTATCGTGATTTAAGGTGGGTCTCCACTTTATTATATTTACTATAAAGTTCTCAGGCATATCCCAGCATCACGCCTAAACGCAGTAACAAATGCGTTCAAAGTTCTAGAAAGAAAACTGTTAAGCACTAAGTTCTATATTTTATTTATCTACAAGTCAATGCGTATGCACACCGGTGCCTCATTCTTACTGCATCTCTTTTTATATGAAATGTATTATTATGAATTATGGTGGACGTCTTTTTATAAACGTAATTTTTTACTTCTTAATTTTTGAAGGCCTGGACGTATTATAAAATAAGATAATAACTTACAATTATGCAGAACTGAATCTCTCGGCCTATTATTATATGCTTAAGATAAGTCGACTTGGTACGAACCCAAGTCATAGATAACGTTCTTTATATAGTAATCGAAATCTTTGTTCCTGTTTCAGAGGCCGGTTAGGTTAATTTAGCCTGCTTTAACACCCCATTCAACCTCTAATTATCCTTCCTTATCACCTTCATTCCTGCGGTATTTACATTTGCCTTATACTATCAGATTGAATTATAACGCTCCCGATTTCGCCCTTGTCCTTGTAGGCCTTTTTATCTCAATTTTACTTCTTTCTTTACTCCATTTATTTATCGCATTTGCCTCAGATTTTAGTATTCATTTCCTCGGGGCCTTGAAATATGTTGTTGCTTTATTCCACAAGCTTTTGACCTCTGTTCTTCGACTCCGATCGCCGGTTCCTGTTTTGTTTCTTGTCCTAGGGCTCTGACCCTCGTAAGATTTGTATTACCTCAATATTTCGGCTGGTCCCATATTGCCTATTCCCAAGATAGTTGACTCATGTGATGTAGGATCGCTCTTTAGCAACAATCTTGTCCATATCCCAAATTCTTGCAAGAGAGGGTTTCCTATTGATCCGAATTTTGTGTGGGCTTGGTGGCATCCTCATATTTCGCTTCCTTTTATTATCATGCTCGTTATCTCCGGATCTTTCTGAGGTGACAACTTATACGTGGCGCTTCTAACCTTTCTTCGCAATTATCTTAATGCCTTCGACTTGTCCCGGGATGCATGAATCTCATCTTCTTCCAATATGTCGATTTCTCCGTGTGACCTTAGAAAATATCGATTCTACCTGATGGGTATATTCCGTATGAAACCTTGAGTATTCATGAGATTATCTTAGGGTGTCTAATTAATCCATGCTATCATTTCCTAATATTTCAGAGTCTATGGCAAGGACATTAGATTATCGTAGTGTCGCGGTTACGTCCTCCGGTATCATGAAGGCATTAAATTAATACTTATATTTAAAGTGAAAATCAATATAAACATATGTATATAAAAGTGACATGAATTATAATAAAATCGTAATATACAAGGACCTAAGCTGCTTTAATAGGGCAGTCAAAATATTTGAACAAATATGGCATAGGTACTATTTACATATATAAGGGAAAAAGCTCTTGTTACCAATTATTTTGAAATAGGTAAAAATCAACAGGTGTGCTAGGGAGCAAAAAAATTCGACTCCGAAAAGACAAAGCATTAAAAAAAAGCGGGTCTGATAGAATTCGGCTAAAGATCTGCTTCGGAGGACGTAGTTGTAGAATGGGTCAAGGGAACATGCGAAGAGACCGTTGCAGGGCTGTGAATGCCTGCAGGTCTCCTATGGCTCTGGGGGGGTGGACCGAAATTCCGAGGGGGTTTGTTAGGAGATATGGGCGTGCTTTTAGCCGAGCGGTTTGCTTGATTGGCGTATAATTCAAGTTTATTCATCTTCCCCTTTTCCGAGGAACGATGTATTTCTTCACAATTATCAAGAATGCTGTCAGAAGTACATTTTGAGACTTCATTCATACCGTTAAGGGTATTCAAGCTTATTTCATCCACATATGCCTTGGGAACGTAGCCTATAGTGTCGTCGTCAATTTTATGAGCCAATATCCAGCCCTCTTCTTCGTCTCCATTAGATTTCAAAATGTAGAACTTGTCACCGACGTGAAACTTTAAATATGAAGTCTCAAAGCCATCGGCTAAAAATTAAAATAAACTAATTAAGATTAGAAGCCCAAAGGTATATTTCATAATGGAATTAGCGAATGTAAGAGAGTAAACAATATTTTTTTGCTGCCTGGGCAATACAAATTAACTATTAAATAAGAATTGAAATTGGAAAGCAGCCCTAGATACTTGTTTGAGATGAAGAAAAATGAGGCTCAGATGGATATAGATTTCGTGTGGGTATATTATCCCGTAATAAATGGCATTACAATATGAAGATGGGATAGCGAAGGATAGTATTCCGAGGTAAAAAGTATAGGTGCTTGGAAGAATAACCACTTATGAACAACAAATGATAAGATGGAACCGGCGGTGAGGATGGAAAAGTTTCAAGCGAGAAAAGACTTCTGACAAAAGGGGAGCTAGGAAAAGCTGTTTTAAGATCTTTGTGATAGGACACCGTCAAGTAATTCTTTATTCTAGCCCAGTGCTTTATAATCCAAACATGTATTCCTATTTATTGCACGGTTTCTTAATGTATTACAGACTAACTCCCGGAGAATTATTGTAGAAATATCGCTATCCTAGGAATCTTGAGATTTTTGGACTTACGGAATCATGTATCATCAAATGTGAATCTAAGTTATGAAGACCAAGATAGTGTGACTCTTTATATGGTCGCAGTCTCCTTTCATTGTGTATAAGTTGCCTGACCTTGTTTTCGTAACCTGATCATATTGGTATGAAGGCTTAGAGGAACGAACCTAGTCGAGTTCATAGTATGCACGATAATTTCCAGAGCCTATGGTCTCCGCCACACCTATCATGTCTCTATCCATAGTGCTAACTATATAAATTCATATCCATAATCTCATGTGTGCCAAGACACAAATGTTGTCGTTCTACATGTTTTGATTAATTTCAATGTAGAACTACATTTGTGGGTTGGCACACAAAATACTAGGGCATAGGAATTCATAGACTTGACACTATCCATAGTAGTACGATATATGCGGCGGAGTCTAGAGCTAGTTGGCTAACAGTAGACGTGTTTGATCA